AGCCCAAGTCTGGATGGGTCATAGGGCATTGAAGATGGAGCAGGCAGCAGCCCTTCGCATCGCACCACCAAATTCAGGCGAGGAATCAGCTTCATTGACGACTGCCCATGTTATTCATTCAATCATTCATTTGCCATAAAAGGAGGACCTCACAATTCCTACAAAAGTTGTTATTATTTCTATAACTCCCAACTCGACGTCCATTCAATACTACTAACCGTCGTGGCAATTCTTCAATCAATAGCAGTGTAACAATCTGTAATCAGCATTGCATAACCACAGCAAATAAGGCACTGTCACCATCTTGAAGGAGGGACAACCCAAGGAAGGAGGGACCCCAAACCATATGCGGCCGTTAGGCAGGAGGGGGCGCTGCGCCCGTTGTTTCTGGAACTGGAAATTTGGGTTAGATGCAATACAACAAACATATCCATCCCGACAAAATATTCCTAACTCAATCGGGTGGGTCTTGCAAAACTGAAGCCTAGAAAGTTGACAAAGCCTTGCGGAGTCATCAGATCACCATTGAAACCCATCCCCCCCCCCCAACTCTCTCTCTTCTAACAGGTTAGAGAGAACAGGTTGCACCCACACCCACATCATCCACATCATTTGTAGTTTACAGTTTGCACTTTGCAGCTGAAGTTGGATGCAGGATAAGATGTCGGGTAGCTGGTAGCCTGGCACCCCCAAAAAAAAAATGTATCTAATGTCCACATCAGGATCTCCATCAGAATACGTAATCCTTAGGATTACAAGCTTGAAGTACATTACATCCTAAAACAGGGCTGAGAAATCTTTGGTTGGTGCAGCAAGAAACAGCATATGTAGGGGTATTAGACCGATCATCAATACTTAAACCTCATTCGGCTTGATTGAATCAGTGAGAAAAGCAAGACAAAATTGAAAACTGGATTAAGTTGTCCAGTCAAAACTGCTTTTTACTTCTAAGTAAACATTAAAGCAAAGCAAAACCACTGATAGCCATCAGGTTCAAATAAATCTAAAGTACCAACAATTAGCTAATACTTCCCTTCTAGCCTACCAAAACAAAAAACCATAAGAATCCTAACACGAAATGTCATGACTTCACTCAGAAATCTGGCCCCAAAACTCCATAGGACGGCATGCATTTTGCCATGGTGCAAAGATCGTTGGCAGCAGAAGTGATACTATAACCGGCAGAGTTTCACAAAGCATACTTCATACTGCTAGGCCACTAACATTAAAGATAGGCTCGAAGTAAGTGACAGACAATAAACTTCAGGACTTGAAGAATTAAACATTTCAATCCTTTGACAGGAATGCTTGTCAAGACTACATTCCTACGTTGATTAGGATTTTGCTGAAGCATATTTCTAACCAACCACAGAGTTCAGGTTTACACAAGATGCAGACTTATGGGTATCTTATTGCATAAATACAGCACCATGAAGAGCGCTCCAAAAACATAAAACAGGATGCTTTCTGTATTCTTTCTTCATTGACTAAAGCAGTTGTAGAGAATACCATTCCAAATAATTAGAGAGCCCACGGCCACTACTTTCATTGCCACTACCACAAAATCTCCCCACCCTATGTCACCTCCATTTAACCACAGTAAGTACAACTCCACATAACAGCCTACAAAAGAAGAAATGGAAAAAGGGGGGGGAAAATAAAATGTACCACCTCAATGTCCAAAATACCATATTGTAGAAACATAGCAAAGCAAACAAAAACCTTAGTGTATCGCAACTCCCCACCAGAAAATCGAAAGCCGTTCTTGACACCTGACAAACATCCTCAACTCCTTGAGCGAACCCTGTCATTCTCCACCTTTTGCGCAAAAACCTTTGTTGCAATCATATTGTCCTCGAAATACCTCGCATAAGGATGCCCCTTTGGTACCAACCTACGATACTTCTCAAAACTCTTCTCGGCCTCATCCTTCTTCCTCAACAGAGTGTATATTATCCCTTGACATAAATACGGCCTAAAATCCCTTGGCTCCTCCCTAACCAAGTCCTGATAAAATTTCAGCGCATCGTCATACTTCCCTTCGATCACCCGAATTTGGGCCAGTAAAAGCTTAAAATCTCTCAAATCACTCTTCTTATTTTCTTTCTTACACAGCTTCATTGCATCCTCAATCTTCCTCTCAATATCCTTCAATTCCTCCGTCGAATCATCCTGGGATGCAGCCATTACAAGGCCGTGGTACGCCTCCACGCGAAAAGGGTCTTTTGATATGATCCCGCTGAACCCATTTTTCGCAAATTCAAGCTCACCACTGTAAACGTGCAAATGAGACTTCATCAACGGCCACTCCACTTCATTCGGCTCCAGTTCTATCAATTTCTCCACAATCATAATGGCCTCTAGCATTTTCCGGTTTTTAATTCGAATTTCCATTAAATTTCGGAGGGCTTCGACGTCATTCGGGTGGGAAAGCAAGTGCTCTTCAATGGCTTTTTCCCTTTCTGCCTCATCAAGGGTGTCCTTTGAGGCAGCTTCAGCGGCAGCTGCCCCAGCAGAGGAGGCGAAGGCTGGTTTGACATTAAAGAAATGGAACCTCGAAAAGAAGATCGCAGCAGCCGCTGTGGCTGCAATGAGGGTGGTTTTGATGAAAGTGGACGGGAATGTGGCGAGGGTTTGGGAAAAATAAGGGTTAAGGTTCCGCAGGGGGTTTAGGGGTTTGTTAAAGAGACGGGGCTTAGGGTTTTCATTGTCAGAGGAGTTTGAAGAAGGGAATTCAGATGAGGACGAGGAGGAAGCTGTGATGGGGGTGAATTTGAAAGATGGGGTTTGAGATGGAGGTGGGGCTCTGAAGGAGAGAGAAGAGATGGGTCTTGAGAAGAGCGGACGGCGGTGAGGGACTGAGGGGATGAGGGCCTCGTGACCCAGGTTTAATTTAGCAGTAACTGATTCACCGGTGCAATACATGGCGGTGGTGGTGGCGGTGGTGGTGGTGGTGGTGAGGTTTTATTAACGTTTATAAGAGAGCAAAGAAACACGAGAGGAGGGAAGGCCTAAAACCCTGGTGAGGTGGTGGCTATTGGCTAACCAAGAAATTGAGGAGAAAGAGCAAGAAGGCTCTGAAAATGAAAAGATTCTGAAAGACCGCTCAACGCATAATGTGCTATTGGGCTTTCAATTTCTGTTTGAAGTAAAAGTTTGGGCTTGTTACACGTTGTTGTACTGCCACTTGTTTCGGGCTACTGATTGGGTTTCTCTCGTTGACCGCTTCGTTGATATCGCTTGTGGACTCATGGATAATTGTTCAGTGATGGGTTCGCGTAACAACAAAAAAATATTTCTTCCCCCATCAATTAGAAAATGAGCGCTGTGGACTTTTACCAGATTAAGATTTCGTCCTCCCGTCAAATTTTGAAATACTTATAGAATTAATTTTCAATACACTGACTGTCAATGTATACAATTTCATTCTTAGATGCATGATATATAATCTAAATTTGAATTTTACATATGTATCAATATATGTAATCATGATAATGTTTGCGAGCTTGTTGAAGCAGATGTGAAAAGTTTAAGAAAAGTTTTTAGAGCACTTCATTGTATATCTAATCTAAATAAAAGAAAGCGTGATTGGGAACACGTCAAAAATAAGGAAAAACCAAAAAAACAGCTGGGGTAGGGGGTCCCCTAGGCCTAGGGACACGTACAATTGAGAGAGACACGGCATAACACCCTTCCAAAACGGTCCCCCTTCTTTGCTTCGCTTAATTCATCATCAGACAGACAGCAGAGCTCATTGCTTACAAAAGAGCAAGAAAATATCTTTAGAATTACAACACAAGTTGTGCAGTAGTAGTAGCGAAGGATCGGGAAAGGCCACTTTTATTTTTGGCCAATGTAATACATGAACTTAATTTTCGGATCCAATTAAAACCTTCTACGGGAGGCGGCGGCGCCACCACCACCTAAAAATTTTGGATTATCCCTCTCTCCGCTACCAACCTCCATCACTAGTCACCCACCTCCTTCTCCTTCCCCCATCCTCTGAATTTATATTATAATTGAGAAAGTCGAAGAGGAAATCTAGAAATGCTTTCTGGCTCAAGTGAAAATAGCATAAATATGCAAATTTTATCAATTTTTGCTACCATTATGGCTGGTGGAGCATTTGTTAGCCACAATTGCTGCATTGTCATAATCATCACTCCGCCCTTTTGCTGATGTCCACCCTCTACTCTCATACTAAGGTCGTGTTTGAATTGTATTTTCCGTCATTTTTCATGGAAAAATTACTGTAGCGATTTGATATATGTGAGGGAAAAAGGTGATAGGGAAATGTGATCATGGAAAATGACAATATTTTTCGACGGAAACAAGCAATCCAAACAAGGCCAAAAGTTTCACAATTTCTAAAAATCGTCTTAGTTTTTCTAGAAATTTGCTAAAGATTTTTTTTTTTTTATTTTCAAACGCATATCAAAGCAAATTGCTTGTGTTGCTCTAAGATCCGGTGGATTTGGTAGCTAGTAGAGAGGGCCGGGCCATTTATCGGTTGTTGGAATGCATTTTGAATTTTGTTGCATGCCCTTTCAATTGTTGAAATGGATGACGTGAGGGGAGGGGGAGGGACTAGGGAGGGTTAAGAAGTTAATTAAAAATTTTGAAAACCTTAACAGAGTTTTAAATTTTTAAAAATACCTCAAATACTATTATTGATTTTTGTAATTTACTTAGTTTGATTACAATCTATACCTAAAGTTTCTGAAATACCATTATTTAACCGTTAAATTAGAAATCCGATTGCTTTTAAGCGATGGCACTGCTGCAAAGGAACTTAATTGAATTCAAAAAAAAAAAATAAGGCCTTGCTTGGATTGCAACTTTCCGTCAGAAAATTACGTTGTTTTCCGTGATCACATTTCCCTATCACCTTTTTCCCTCACATACATCAAATCGCTACAGTAATTTTTCCATGAAAAATGACGGAAAATGCAATCCAAACACAACCTAAATTTAAGGAGTAAATTAATCAGAAATAAAAATTAGGGACTAAGTCGGCTCTAATTAGCCATTTTTTCTTAAAATAATCAGTGTGGACCACTGTGGAGGTAGAAACCATTTCTGATTTCCCCCACGGACGGACGAGTGAAAAGGTGCGGGTGAAGCCACATGTCACCCACGTCTGAGCCCACATTCACCTCTTCTTTTTTGATTTTTCCACACCGAGGGCCGGCATCTTAAATTAAAAACGAAAAAGAAAAGGCGTGGGAGACAATATTTTTTTTTTTTTTTTTTAAATTTCCCTCCAATTTGAAAAAGAAAAACTAATCTACGACGAGAGGGCGGAGGTGTTTATGGCCCTTGACTAGGACGGACGCAGTCCAGTCCACAGAGTTCTACAAATATTTGATCAAATGCGAATTTGGAGAGAGGGAGACGATCCCAGTGTCGTAAACGGCTCCCAAGGCCTCCGACGTTTTGTCTGAATTCTGAGATAGAACAAAACAAACTAGTCATCCTCCCAGCTTGCTGGTATCTTTGGCAGTGGAAGAATGCGGCGACAGCATCCTCTTTTGGATCCTTTGTCGCGTCTCCGTTTCCGACGCTCTTTCCTCCCTATCCTTCGTGTACGCTTCGAAGAACTCCTTGTTCTCTTTCTCCAGCTCCTTCCACACTGGATCATCCATTACCACCGCCATTTAATTTAAGAAGCCTTTTTAATTCACTACGACAAATCATAACTAATTCACTCTACTGTAAGCCTTTTTAATTTGTTCACTATTTGTTTTTTCATCAAAACTGTTTAAAGTACTTACGTGGAGTTCTTTACGAGGTACGTACCACCACCGGTGCTTCCGGATGAATTATCATCGTTTAATCAATTGAATCTCAAAATTTGATACTACAGCAGTCGTATTTTCTTTCCCTAAAGACAAACGTGGGCAAAGGCCAATCTCACACGCAACATGTGTCTCACTGCACAAACATACATATACATACATATACATACATATATATATCCCGATCCGAGAACTCCAATATATATACTTTTCTTTTTGTAGAAAAGTTTTAAATTACTGAAAAAAAATTCTTCCAATGGATTCGTTATTCTAGTTTAGAGGATCGACTTTCATAGATTCTATGTTCTTCTAGAATTGAACTCTTATAACTAAAAACTTACACACACATACGTGTATATATATATATATATATATATATATATATATATATGTGTGTGTGTGAGTAAATTAAAGATTTATAAATCTGTTGGCGTGCATGTGCTTTCTAGCTGATCACCCGCCTAGTAGATCATCATCCACAGCTATAAATAAATAACTAAGCGCCGGTGGTTTGTGTTTCAACTTAAAACTTTTAGTCTGTCTCTAACAGTAACAGCATGGGGCCAGAAGAAGGGGAAATTCAGAGCTGTTTAAGTTGACGACTACTAACCGGTGGCAGTAATGACCGGTTTGATATTTGCATGCTTGAAGAGAGCTTCCATGCATTCCTCTTTGCTCATATGGAATAAGATACACTCTTCTATCAGATGCTGAATCTGCAAATCATGATCAAATATCCTATCATCATCTACGTACCATTTGAAAAAAAAAAAAAAAAGAGTAGCCGCAGTTCTACCTACCTCTATCAAGTACATATGTTAGGATACTGAACATTAATTGCGCTTACCAGATGGATGTACTCGTGAGGTGATGAAGAATCAGCCATGTCAAACGCCTCCTCAGGACTTGGGAGCTAAGTTCTCCTTAGGGCTTTTTCAGTGACTGCACCGGAGATCGATTTATGCCATACATATATATCCACGGGCAGGGTAGAGTTGAGTTGAAAATTAATAAAGCAAAAAATAAGAGCAACCGAGCTGAATAGTAGGAGAGGATGGCAGAGTTCAATGGAGAGCAAAGAAAAGCGCTGGAACGAAAGCAGAAGAAACTACTGGACCGATTTAAAAAAAAATATATATATATAGAAAAAGGCTCTCGAACCAACACAGCAGCGAAGTTAATAGTTGAGTTGGCGATGCAGATGGTGTGAAACAATTTCAACAAAAGAAGCGATACGGTGATGTCATTTGGTGGGGTCAGCAGTCCCACGTGGGAACACAAAGGCGATTGGTTACGAGGGGATTATGGAAGATTTTGCTAAGCTCCCGCTCTTTGTTCAACTTAATCCACTCTGGCATCTCCACGTGACGCACTGGACCCACCGGGGCCCTGAATCAAGGAGAATTCCTGCATGGCCCTCCCCGCCCCCCAATCCCCGCGGGGCGGTGAAAGTCAATTGGGCCTGCAAGAAAGCAAGCCCACAGTCAACAGTAAACAGCGGCACGTGCAACTGTCGTGGCGTCTTTGCCCACTCTTCCTCCGTCCCCGTGCCGACTGCCTTTCAAGCAACCAACGGTCGTGCTTCTTGGCTGCTCCGCGTATGTTTGATAATTCAGGTCAGCACTTAAATTTAATGGATTCAAATCTTAACATATTCAAATCGTTTGATAATAAAAAAAAATTGAACATTCGAAATAATCAAGTGACACTGAATTTTCTAAACAAAACTTACTCCCAAAATTAAGTGATAATCTATTCACTTATCACTGAATGCGATATACACTCAAATATATTACGTAACAATTTCATAATTTCATGAATTCAAATTTTAGATTTCAGACTTCAATTTTTAGATTTTAATTTTATCAAATACACCCTATCTGTTGTTGCAATGAGAGTGGAGTCCTCGCCCATTGAAAAAAAAAATAAGGATTCTTTTAGTACCATTTTGTACGCTAAGGGCCGGGAACAAGGGGTGGACCAAGAAGTAACGTGAGTTTATTCACAAGTCCATGTCAGGGGTTCAAAATTTTCACCTCCACACTTCTTAATGTCACCATTTAAAATAGAGGAAAATATAATGACTCAAAATTAAAATATTGGATAGACCAAAAGTGTAGAGTCTAAATTGTTGACTAATGAAAATTTGATATTGATCTTTAGTCATTCTTAAATTTTTATTAATCATTCTAAATATGCTTAAAATCAGAAACTTTAAAGATCAAATTTATTTTAGACGAAATATTAGGGACCAATTTAACGCACACGCCAAATATTGAAAACTAAACCGCAATTTTCCCATAAATTTAAGCTACCATAGAAAGTCAAAGTTGAATATAGGCAAATACTAGAGCCCTTGTTAATCTTGGACTAGAAATTAAAAGTTGAACATAAGCAAATACTAGAGCCCTTGTTAATCTTGGACTAGAAATTAAAAGTTGAACATAAGCAAATCCTAGAGCCCCTGTAAATAAGAAATTAACTTTGTCATAATATGGATAAGGTCGGCACCAAGACCCAACTTAACTTGGCGAGCATGAGTAGTGTGAATTGACTTTCAAGCCCCCCTCATATTTCTTTCCCCTAGTAGAACTTGCAATCTGCCCTGGACCGAAAACAGAAAAAAGAAAAATAACAGTTTATTTAGTTGTCAATAATTTTACCTAGACATTTCAATAGGCAAGATTTGGGTTGAAATATTTTGATTCAGATCTAGATCTAGGTTCATTAAATTTAGTTAGATTAATACTTAGACTCAAACCCTTATGGGCCTAAAAAAGTAAACCTAGACTTGAACTCTCATAAGTTTGGGAATCTAATGGGTATTTGTAGATATTTTTCTAGACATACAGTGAAGAAATAAACTAAATTATTTTAAAATCATATAGGGTTAAAAAATTAAATACTATCAAAATTTTGTTTTCAAACAATAAAATTAATATTCAAGAAATTGAATTCAATATTATAAACTTAAAGAAAGAACTATTATCAACTACTTCTATTTAGGTGGTGTTTTCTTATATTAATAGCATGTCCTTTAATTTAACAACTATGAAGTATTACTGCAATCGATCCAGTCTAATAGATAATATTAGATTAATTTATAAATTTATTGATTGATATATATATATATATATATATATATATATATACACGCGCACACACACATGGATCTAGATTGGGTCTAATTTAGACATGATGTATTCAGAATGGATCATAGAAAATCGAACCTTAATCAGACTTATAACTCTCTCACAAGGTATCGGTTTGAGAAATTAAATACAAAACCTATCCAACCATATAGGATCTGAGTCGAATTTGGTTAAAATTCAACCTATTAACATGCCTAATTTTATCGAAACAGGTATTCTTCCAAATTTTATAAGCCAATTTAATTCATAAACTAATATGTTATTTTATAGCCAATTTATTCCTTTTATCTAAAACGATTTTTCTAATGAGGACTGGTTAACACAATTAAATTAAACTGAACATACTATGTCAATATTGACTATCTTAATTATTGCACCCTTACATATGGGTATTTTTCAAAGTTAACTACACTTCTCTAAAAAAATTTAATACTTGAGAGCCTCTTCTTAATAAGGGCATGTTAGACACCCGTCAGCCAAACTGTATCCAAAATACATACTAACAATGGAGCAATTTCAATAACCAGTCACGCCCCTCAGGATTTGTTTGAATAGAGTGAAAGTCATATAGGAAAGTGAAGTGAGAGAAGTGAGGTAAATGAAAAGAAAAATCTATTTCTTGAACATGTTTGGTTATTAAGAAAAAATTTTGAAAGAAAATGGGAGCTTGGTAATAATTAGCAACAATTATTAAAGTTTTTGTGTCAAAATTCTACAGATTTTATAGGACAAGAAATGCAAGACAGTGAAGGAAAGTACAGGAAAAAATTTTAATTTTCCTACTAAAGAAACATACAAAAAAAAAAAAAAACTAACTTTCCTTCGCTTTTTCACATTTTTCCTTGCAAACAAACACTATCTTAACACAAGTTAATTATTCTTGCAATTTATTTGATCATAATTGGGTCGTTTCCAATAAAAATTAGTACTCCCTCCGTCCCATTTTGATAGTCCTATATTCCTTTTTCATCTGTCCCAAATTGTAGTCCACTTTCCAAATAAAAAATGTAATTGTATTTTAATTTTTTTAAAATATCCTTATTCAATGTAAGTAGTTGTTATTATAAACCTACCCCATTTAATGAGAATTGATTCTTTTTTTACCATTAATTCAAATTCCCATAAAGTTGTACCATATTTAATGTGAGGGTATTTTAAAAAAATAGCAATCTAAATTTACTTTTCCAACAAAGTTAACTACTTTTTCTTAAACTGTGCGAAAAAAAAAACAGGACTATTAAAGTGAGACGGAAGAAATATAAAAAAATTGACGGCTCTAGAAATTGACGGCTCTCATGAAGTCAGGCTTTGGGGTTTGGTTTGGTTTGGTTAGCTGTACTTGAATATGCTCGCATTGATCCACACAATAAATCGGCGCACTAAAAGAACCAAACAACCGGGTACATGACCTGGCCAGTTGGCACAGTTCCCCTTTTTAACCAAATTATTTGGCACTAAAACCAAACAACCGGGTACATGACTTGGCCAGTTGGTACACTTCGTCCTTTTTAACCAAAGGGTTAAAAACAAAACAACCCTTGCCGTATACCTAATATATAAAAAAATCCTCCATAAATTCAAAACATACAAAACAACACACCATGCTTTGAACTAAATTATAAACTAACAAAATTAATTAAATTTAATAAAATCCAGTAAAATTAACAAAATTTGATAAACTTAACGAAATTTGATAAGTTTAATCGTTGAGACCGTCATTTTCGTCCAATTTAATAAATTCTATTAATTTACAATTTAGTTCAAAACATGAGGATCGTTTTGTATATTTTAAAATCATAGAAGGCTTTTTTGTGTATTAAATATACCACCGGAAACTTTTTTATTTTTAACTCTTAGCCAAATTATTTGCCACCAACCAATCACACATTGACTCAGAACTTCGTCCAACTCATCATCAATATGTTATTACACAAGAAAACTGGAAATAGGAACCAAACTAATGCTTTCAATTTGAAACATATTTAGGATCATCGAGTGATTTTTCCAATTCTCCCCGGAATGGAGTCATATGACCCTTGCTAAAAATTTTAGTCTAACATTTTCTTATAAAGGAGAAGGGAGAAAGAAACGCGACTGGCATCAAAATTAATTTTGAAATACCAAAATGTAAATCTTTGCGTTTTTGGTAATTTCTCTTTTTTCCCTTTTAGTTACACATGATTATTATTTTTTTTTTAGTTTTAAGCAAGGCTCAAATGACTACACTTTATTCCGCTCCAATAGGAATTTTAAAAAATATGTCAATTATCCTAAATGTGCTTCAAATTTGAAACACTAGGGACTAGATTTCCTTTGGTATGGAAACTGCATATTCTCCCTTCAAGCAAGTATTAGAAGTGAGGAGTACCACTACTCGCATAAAGCATGGCATTCCGGATTTACACAGAACCACAACAATGAGCTTAAGAGTTGTGACAGGATCACCGGCCAGAATCCCCTAGCTATCAGTAGCCGACCACGTAAACGTGCCATATAAAAAATTACTAGTTTCACTTCAAGGATACTTTTCAATGACAAAGCTTTTGGTGATTCATGCAGTTTTTGTTTCCTCTCTTTCCCGAAAATGTTTCACAAGATGAGACCCTTCAAGGAGCCTTTTCACTAGAAAGTCGTGAGGGCATCAGCGTTTTCACTCTAAGGATCTGCTGGACAAGGCAGTTCATGATCCGCGCTGTTTTTGTTTCCTCACTTTCTCTATCACACTCACACGATGAATAGTCCCAATCTAATGATAAAACAAATGTACATAAACTCATTCTAGCTTAACGAGTGCACTTAATGAACCAAAGGCATATGTACACTTTCTGAAGTATCCTAGCGACCCAACTCCAATTTTAACATGCACAACTCAAGCATGACAACAGAAACATTGGAAAGAACAAGAAAGTACCGGAAAAAGACAAACTTCAATACAATTAAAAAGGGAAGGGTGAGTTGATGGATCACATTTTCACTTTGAAATTATTCGATACAGATACACCCAAGGTCCGTTACAGTTAAGTATACCGTAACTGGTAAGGTTTAATGAAGAGCAGACCATTTACCTACAGCTGCACACTCTTACTATCATTTGATCAACCAGGTATATTTTTACGTGATTCATTCATCTATGTTTATTTGAATAGTTAATCACCCGATACAATAATCCTAAAGTAACTTGCGATTGACATATTTATGTTTATCTTAAATATTCATCACCCGATACGACAATTACAAAGAAACTTGTGAAATAAAGCGCATACCTTCATCTCTTATTCTTGTCAGTCCATCAATTTTGCCAAAAGATCAGTCCTCCGACTTGTACATGAATCTGGATTGATATGCAGAGAAGAATGGTCTGCACCGATTCTGCATAGTTACATATCCCGTTATTAATGTCCAGAGTTCTGCAGGTAGCCAGAAAATAGTAGCATATTGTGAAAACCTCCGCAAGCTAATTAGTACAATGAAAAAGGAGGATATTTCCAGCAAATAATCATTAATCACATCATAACCTCTTCACTCGAGAATAATAAGAAAGAAATATATTTCCTACAAGGGAGAACCAATGACACATCCAAGCCAAAAAAGCAGGGGTTCAGTATATGACGCACAGAAAGTGGCAATGTTGCTATACAGAATACCCGAGAAATGCGGCTTGAGTAGTAACAGCAAGGGCAAAACTAGCACACTTCCCCTGCTTTTCCTCCCTGCCTGACAATTCCACTACTTTCCTTCCAAATCTAGAACTCTAGATGGAGAGAGCTCAGTGTGCCTTCTATTGTCACACAAATTACCGAATAGATCATTTACAAAGAATATCCAACCCTTCCGAAATTTCTATTGAAAAAGGGGTGCCTCAAAGCCTCTCTTGCTTTAAGACGCTCTCCAGGTTCATAACGTAAAAGACCTTGCAAAAGATCTATCAAATCACCAGCAGAATGGTCTACGTGCTGCATGACCAGATTCTGTAAATAAACATGAGCAAATTAGAGTATCAACCGGGTGGAGAAAATGCATAAGCAGCATACTCAGATTCTATAAATAAACATGACAAAATTTGAGGTCTACAGGGTGTAAAAGAAGCATGAGAAAGAGACGACATCTAACCTCCTCCTCCCTAAAATAGCCATCACAAGCAGCTTCCTTACATATCCTTCTCTCCACACCCTCAACCAAAAAATTTATGAATAAACAAAACCTCTCAGTGTCCTCATCCCACAATATTTTCTGATGACAAGTTTTTCCTTTTACTTATTTCTTTCTCTTGTTGGGCAGAAAGGGTAGGACACTCTGTCTAATTTTTGCATCCCAGCTCAGGGAAAAAGAAAACAAAAACAGAACACAGAAAAAACACTACACAAATAAGGTCATCAAGTACAAAAGCCAAATTACCGTCAGGGTGTTGTGTCCCTTGGACAAACTAGAGGTGACAACAAAGTGCATATTTACTCGATCGATCTTTCTTATTGAACAAAACCTCAGTCTCAGAATCTCCAATCCAGAGAAACTTTGTAAGCACATTACTAGATTATAGGTGGCAATCAACAACCAAACCTCTCTTTGGCCAGTATTTTAAAACTTTAAGTTGTTTAAACAGATTATCATCTCAATTCTTTATGATCGATTAACACATAATATAGCAAAAAGAGTTTGCTTTCAGAACCCACCCATCAAAAGAGATGAGAACAGAATCCTGATAACAATAAATGCATCATCAACAGATACCATGTCCCATAATGGGTAAACACTGATAGAAATGACAAATGTAGTGTGCTTACCTGAAGACGGGGTAATTTCCAAACGGCCCTCATACTCTCTCTTGAAGTTGCACCCTCTGGCCAATCCAACCTTGCGCCCCTTTTAAAATATTTCACAGCATGATGGCTTCAGAAGATACCACCGTGTTTAGGATTGAGTTAGCAAGGTAAGGCACAACCCATAAGAAACATTAAGTAGCAGTCATTTAAGCTTACTCTGCTCTCATGATCATGTGTTGAGGCAAGGGACCAAGCACTCGTTCCATCATAGCAAGATGCTCGAGATTTTCATGTGTTTGGAAAAGAGCCTCCCCCTATTATGAACCAAACAAAGAAGAAAAAAATATCAAAGAGGCTAAATGTGTAATAATCAATGGTAACTAAAAAAAAAATTAAAGCTGTAATATGAAAAAAAAAAAAAGATCCAGCCATAAAGGGATGCACAAAGTACTTCACTATAATCTTTTGGGAGAAGTAAAGGAGTTATACTGATGTATGTGTTTCTGAAATCAAAATTGAGAAATATATAGAAGGGAGGGGAGGAATAGAATTTAATATTCAGTTCTCACTTACAGAGCAAAGCTCAACTAGTATGCAACCTACGCTCCACATGTCACAGGGATAGTTCCAACCAAGACCTATGATTATGAACAGGATTAAGCCACAAAGCTCAACAAACATGCTCAAGGTTCAATAGGAGAATCATACCCAGAATAACTTCAGGAGCACGGTAATGACGTGTTGACACCACATAGCTGTGATCCTGATGCTCAAATGTTGTACTACCAAAGTCAATGAGCTTAATAGCACTTGACTTGGGTAGATTTTTGAAATAGGAACCATCTTTTATGGACCGTGATAAGAACTTCATTATGGGAAGGTGACAGATAAGACAGAAGGCCCATCAGAAAAGAGTTGAAACTTTCATATTTGAAAGTAAGCATTAGTGAAATTAGAAGTTTCAACCATTAACTGCCCAAATATGCTGATCATTCACACAAGAAGCAGAAATTTAAAAGAATTGTACACAAGGATTCACCTTATAATCAGGCACTTTGATATATTCTGAGGAGACAAGAAGAATATTTTCCGGCTTTAGATCAGTGTGAATCAGGCGAAGATCGTGCATGACTGTCATAAAAACATTCCAAGAATGAGACTGGACTGGTTCAAAGATGCTTCAGAACTTAAAAACACTTGCATAATAATCCAATTGTGCCAGTAAAAGAGTATTTCCAAACCCCAGTGTAATCTTAATATATCAACAATAGAAACGTGTAGCAGGAAAATTAAGCTTTAATGAGGCTTTCATTTATTTGGAAAAATAACTGAAATCAAGTTTAAAATAAATAAATAAATAAAGTAGTATCACAATGATTCGTCTACACACATGCTACAGACTCCAAAAGTTGTCTGCCAAACTCCCGAACAAGGTCAATGGGAAAAGAACGATAGCTGTTTTTGCGGAGGAAATCGTATAAGCTTGGACCAAGCTTCTCAAAAACCTGTTAAGACCATTTAAATCCATCCGCAAGCTTTCAACTTACACAATATTCAGGCATAAGTGGAGCACAACTTTTCGTTTAAATGTAATAAACTATATAAACACCAATCAATACTTACAATACAAATATGATTACGATAGTCAAACCAATTCCGTATTTGCACACAACTGCAAAGAATAAAATCACTTGTGCCAAAATCACTTCAATTTTAACACCCAAAAAGAAATATTTTTTTTGGGGGGGGGGGGGGGAATGCACTAACCGTGCACCGCCAACATCATGCCTTAAAAGTTTGTGTAGGACATCAATCTCAATCATAGCAGCTTCACGATACTTATGTACTGAACGAACAACTTTAATTGCAACAATTTCCTTCCTTTCATTGTCTAAGCATTCAAGAACTTGCCCAAAAGTCCCTGCAATATTTTCCAGGAAATGGACAACCAAAATGTGACCCTCTAGATATTGAAAATATAAGAGATAAGGTCCTCAACAGATGAATACTGCAATAAAGTAACTACAAGAAGTACAAATAAAAAGAATGAAAAGAGTACAAACAGGGGAAAAGACAAAAGAAAGGCTTTTAAGTCAATAAGCTATGAAAACAATAAGTAATCTAAGACAATGCAACTAACCTTCACCCATTTTGCTCAGTATCCTGTCTGCATATTCAGGAAATAAAGAATTATACTTCCAAAAAATACAAAGGAATCATGTTTTACTAAGTTAACTGAAAGGAAAAAGGTAATAAAAGGACTTAAGCTCAGATAAAATAGAATCACAATTAAACCATCATATCATTCTAACCAATCACAAAATCATAATGGAAATATACTTACAACGAGGTGTTAAGTTCTCCCCAATCGCAAATACATAATGTCCATCTTTATCATCCGACCTCCAAGGTGGGGATCCATTGCGAGAAGCCCCTTTATAATATATTGAAGAGTATGCATAGTTTGGTAATAGCCCATTTGCGAACTGTTGCCCATAATATATTGTTGGAAGGACCTGAGATGATGATGAATTCATTTAATGTGTTCACGGAACCATCTTTTTATGTTTCTGGAAAAGATCTAGTCGGATTCATTAACACACCAATGGATAGACAATTGATTGTACAATACAAGCTACCAGCTCAAGAACATGAAGAGACAAATACAGTAGAGTCACACTAACTGATAAATTAGTCTGAAAAGACCATGAAGCTATGATTCAAAACAAAGAAGTGATTAGAGTTGAATAATAAGCTTCTCCTACAGAATAACACACTTCAATTGCAGTGTGTACAGACAAAATGATAATATCACAGACAAAAATACTCCAATCCGTCCGCATTCATGTACTCATATACCTACGGCCTGCCTCAGTTGCTTATAATCAGCTGATTAAAGCTTAGTTCAATGCTAAGAGGAGTTTCGAGGTGTTCTCCTTTGCTTTTTAGTTCTGGTTTTAGCTTTATCTTAAGCTGGGAGATGAAAAAAGAAAAGCTGATTCTGACGGTCAACCTATGAACTGGCTATGACAACTGCTTTAGCATTGCAATACATTAAAAACAAAAACAAGCTTTCATCAGTAGGTGAACAGATTTTTCATTAATCACTGAGCCATGATAAGCTTAAACCAAGCTGAAATCATTTTGAGCCATAATATGATACTGTATTGCATATAATTTGCAGTAAACGCGTTGAGCATACCAATAACAAGATCTAACCACAGAGCACAAGCAACGAGTGGTAAATACAAAAAGATAAAACAAGAAACGGCATACTCATTTCTGGAAATTTTCCCAACAAAAATAATTTTTACTAATTCAAACTTGATCAAGGTGCTACAAGACGGGCCATATGCATGTATATGTTCATATGTGCGCTTGTCTGTGACATTCAAACATTTCATCATCAATAAAAAAAAAATGCAAAATCCCAAAACATCAAAGCGAATTATCTCTAGCATATTACAAACAGTACATTGTACAAGATATCGACCTTGGCGGCAGCAGAAGGAGGAGGAAGAGGAGGAGGCATGTCCCAAGTCAAACGAGGTCG